ACCAAGGGGGCAAGAAAGGTCAGAATTATACCTTAAAAGGTAAATAATAAACTGCTAGAATGGAATGTGTAAGCAGGGGCATGAAACTTACAGGATAATTAGAAGCGTAGGATGGGCTGTAAACCCTGGGCTACCCAGCCAGTGGGAAAACAGGAGGGAACTTGCATTGAATAAACCGTTATTCACCTTACTGTGGGTGTACCTGCTTGTTTAGGTCACTCATTCTTGCAAGAGTGTAAATAAACTGTGCTTTGCTGAAGGATCTTTTTGGGCCTGTTCATTGGCACCACAAACGTTTCTCACAATAACCAGTACCAGTCACCTAGTACTGCCCATGCCTTGGGAAAGGGTTCAGCCAAAGGACACTAAGAGCAACCACCAAAGACCCCCACTAAAAACCCTAAGAGGCTTAAAGCACATGTGTAATGAGAATGCAACTATAATTAGTTCCAGGAAATCTGATGTATAGTAGGACAGTATAATCCTTGCATGTTGTCACTTGAGGCATGCATGTTAGGAGGAACGGCCCCCCATGCATCCAGTGCTGTAATAAGGAATGTTTCCCTTCTGAAACTTAAATACAAGTGTTGGAGATTTCCCTCAGCAACTGAATTTTATGGTAAGAGACTCCTCTAGGCAGCTCCGCTGGTGGGCTTGGCAATGGGTTCGGAAGGAGCTTTGCATTGAAAATAAGGTGGCATCATCCCCCCAGCTGTTTAAGTAGGGCAAAGACATCTGTTTTGTTACACCTCTGTTAGTTACTATGAGAAAGTACAAAACGTCGCTGCTGCTACACGCAGGAGCTTTGCAGCCAAATTAAACAGGATCTAAAAATTTGCCCGTGTAAATTCATCTGCAGTAACAGAGAAACCTGCTACCTGCTCATTTGAGCGGGTAATCTGCTCATGTGTCGAGAAGCAGACAAGGGAATTACAAATAACAATGTTAGTTAACCATGTTGTCATTAGTTTGTGTAGAGAGTCCAGAGGAGGGCCATGAAGATGATCAGAGATCTGAAGCAACCACTTCAACGGAGACTGTCTGAGAGACTTGGGGCTGTTCAGCCTGCAGAGGAGAAAGCTCTGGGGAGACCTCACAGCTGCCTTCTGGTACCTGAAGGGGCTACAGGAAAGCTGGGGAGGGAAGTTTTACAAGGGCTTGTAGTGAGAGGACAAGGGGAGATGGATTGAAACCAAAAGAGGGGAGATTTAGATTAGATATTAAGAAGAAATTCTGGAAATTGAGCGTGGTGGGACACTGACATAGGTTGCCCAGGGAAGTTGTTGATGCCCCCTCTCTGGAAGTGTTGAAGACCAGGCTGGATGGGGCTCTGAGCAACCTGATCTAGTGGGAGGTGTCCCTGCCCATGCAGGGGGTTGGAACTGGATGATCTTCAAGGTCCCTTCCTACTCAAACTGTTCTATGGTTCTAGTAATTTGAAGCACTTGGTGCATTTTGCAAAGTTACGAGGTGCAGGCAGCAGGTGATGTAATGCAAAGTCTTGGTTTGAGCCAGGGCAGAACCAATTTTCTTTCTAGAGATTTTACATGTCGGTAAGTTCTCTTCCAAGTAGCACTTGCTGCAATTAACAGCGTGTTTTCCAGGCAGCGTCTGCTTCCAGGGCTGATGGTGCTCGATGTTACAGTTACCACTGGAGGACGGGAGGCAGAACCAAGGTCACCAGAAGGAAAACTGGTTCTGCCCGGGCTCAAACCAGCACGCACACAAGTGGCAAAAAAATACACGCACATGGGACAAGTCACAGATGTCAGATCACGTCGCTTAATTGCGACAGACACGCAGGTTGCGGATGTTCAAGAACGACGTGAGTGCACGAGGAGGCCGCGTAACAACACGGACTGATGTGGCTTCGTGCGCTGATCTCAGAGCCGCCCTCCGGCAGCCGAGGCGGTTCGTCCTCCTGCGCGTCCCGAGGCCCTCGCAGCTCCCGCTGCCTCCCGGTTTCCCTGGGAAAAGCCGCTTTTCCCTGGGATTCGCGCGCCCGCGGCCCCGGTGGGCGGGGCCACACGAGGCTCTGCCCCTCGATGCTCCACCGCCCCCCCCCCAGGTCCCA